TTTTTCAAGCAGGCAAAGTTGATTTCACCTTCATCAACAAGGTTGTTGTAGATTTTAGTAGAATGCAAATCAAATATAGCGAGCGGGGTAATAACTTCAACATGAACTACGTACTCTACGGTTACCACAAACGCGCGGTGTCTACATTCGCTAGAAAATATACCAGCGTTGATCGCTTTTGTTTGACTCTCTCTTGACATTTTTAACCTTAAAGCGACAGAATTCTGTAGTAGTTATTACAAATGCTAATTTTCATAAAGTAAAAGGCCACAAAGGACATGGCTAATCGAAAATTTTCGCCGAAATCTCCCTGTAACACGTTATCTAACTACGCCTCTACTGCGGCGTTTCGTGGTACAGCAAACGCTTACTGAGAAAGATTAGGTGGCTGTTATTTGTCGTCCAGAAATTTTTTTTTTATTATGCTTTGTTATTGATATTGTGTCGCGGTTAAAACAAAACTAGTGCTTTTATTTCGTTTTTAACTATCAAGAGAATGGATCAATGGCAAGCTGGATTCTTAAATGCATATGGGTTCAAACTGAGCAATGTTGTGGACATTCTTGGCTATTTGCCATGTGAGTGAATGATTTTAGAAAGCGCAGTAAGCTACATTACCTTGTTCATTTTAGCACTATATTTGTTTACATCTTATACAATTGAACAGCATTGGAGATAGCCTCCCTGTTCCTAAAAGAAAAATAAAGAAATTGTCGAAAGGAATAGTGGAACGTGATTATAGTAAGTTGTGTTCAGAATTCTTGGAATTGATTGATGGAATTTCGTAGAATTAGTTCACAAGACGCGTCATTAAAACAACTGTCCTTGCTGAGATCGCATTTATTCGTGATATTAGCAGTGGCTGGATAGAAATTACTATACATGTTCAAAGCTGTTTTCAGCAAATAATAGATAAGGCAATAATAAGTATTAAACATGTTGACAGACTTTTCAACTGACTCGTTTCTGCACTCGGCGAAGAAAACTTCCTGAGTTATCAGTTGAATGAAGCTATTCAGGGATAGGTATCTTCTTCTTTCCAGTACTTATATGAGTTCTTTTAAAGCTCGAGCATGAAAGCTCGCAACTTCATTTGAGAGGTTTGAGTGTCAGTGAGAAGAAGGCAGAGGCCGAAGAAGGGGGATAGCAGTGAGATTTCTAACATGTTTTGTATTATATTTAATTGCTGCTCCTTCCAAAAATTCTTGAGTACTGATGAACTTTCGCAAATGGCTGTTTCACAGCGGTGCTAAAAGATACATGAGAAGAATATAAGGCTCTATCACAGATGTACTCATAATACTAAATAGTGTGACTGTTTGTTTATTTAAAGAATTTTGGATAACTAGCAAGATGGTGAATAAATTGTGTGTATGATAGGTGCTAGTCTAGATGTTTGTGAGTAGGAGTGGTAAATTGAAGGTATTAATGTCTCCTTCCCTTACGAATGAATATAACTCTGATCGATTTTTGGTCCACCGTCAAGTTTTGTTTGCAATAGTGCTGCAATAAATTGAAACCTGCAAGTCTGGGTTTGGGAAAAAACTGGCCACTCAAATTGGCCAATTTACTGCTTAAAACTTGCATAAGATGCAACTAAATTATTTACTCTTTTACAACTTTTATCTGCTAAGCTCTACCAAAGGTGAGGTAACATGAAAAACAGAAGAGCAAAAGGTGTTCATACTTAATTCTTCTAAAATAAAACAGGTGAAAGAAAGTAAGAGGAGGATCCAACTGCACTTGCTTGGTGTGTAAGGTTCGGACACAAGAAGGACGAACTCGAGAGATGTAGTACTATGTCATTATAGTCATCCCTAAAAGCTCAGTAGTTTCCATCAATCTCGTAAATATTGTCCAAAGAATCTTCTTTGATATTTAAGTCGTTAGATAATCTTCTAAACGTCTTGTGATTACTTCTCAATCAAGTTCGAAGTTATCCTGGCCACTTAAATATTTACCTTTCAGTACTCCATGCCATTCCTTATAACCTCAATAACAAATTGAACCCTAGATTTGCATTTTTGCTGGGCTAGAAGTCGCAAATAATAGAGCTTTCTATTTTGATTATTCATTTTTGAATTTAAAAGCAATAAATTTGTTTCGAGGTGAAATATGAGTGATTGGTTGAAAAGCACCCAGCTCTGTTTCATGTTTGTTTCCTTTTGATTTCATTTTGATTTCGTAATCCGACAACTCCATTTGATGTAAACTTGTATAATGTGGTTTTAATTAGTCCTCCTCATTCATTTTCCTTATCATCTGCAAAGCCACAGATTCCTAAAAGTCTATCTTATTGATTACAACTGCTGCTAAGCAAGCAGGCAGCACTTAAAAACTGGGCTGTTTTGGCGTTACTCGTGTTCAATGGCAAACGTAACTTTCGGCTAACTTTCGCATCTTATGCTAAAAGAGCCAAAAATATCAGAATATTGTAGAACCTTTTTCGATCAGTTCATTTCTCTTCGCAGTGTTTTGAATTTGTGCTATGTCTTGATAT